TTAATAAATTAAAAACATCATGGTTTTATAACGACAATTATTACTAATAATAAATTAATGTTGTATTTTGAATGCCTATGTATTACAATAGAATGTTTCCATGGAAATCAGTGCTGCAACTTAAGGCTTTTAATTATTATATTATCACAATATAATACTTCTATTAATTTTGAGTTTGAATGATATTATGATTTTAAAGTTTTTCTATTTGATTTAATTGATTTAAACAATTCAATTTTCAAAAGTAGCCTTATTATATTATTATTACATTTTACCCATTAGTTGATGTTTTTACGGCTCCTATATCTATTTTCTCACCCTTTCAATAATGAAGTTAAATTCTGTGTAATATATCATATAAAGCATATATCTGTGATAAACATAATATTATAAAAAAATAAATAAATATAATGTTAAAAACTTATTTAACTATCTACATATATAAACTGTATAACATAAAAAATATAGAAATTTAATTTATGTTCAATCTTAATTTAATGGTATTAAAAGACGTTAAAGTATATTAATTATTGCAATAGTTTAAATAAAATCAATGCAATTTATAATAATTTAAAACGGATGTCTTTTCTTCACTTTAATAAAACATAGTTACATGTTAATATCTTCACCAAAAGACTAGCTGTAAATACTGTTCGACGAAATTATATTTATTAAAATCAAAAAAGTATTCAATTATAAATTAATTATGTGAAAATTAAATAATAATTTTATCATAAAATTTAATGTAAGATAAAATAAAAACTTCATTTTACCTTTTTGTAAAATTGGAAATACATAATGCTGGTTTTTAACAAAACTTTTTTCGTAGTAGAAATTAATGGACAATTTCACTTTTACTATATTTATAAAGTTAAGAGTGTAAATATAATTCTCGAAAATATACGACAAAATGTTTTAAACTACTTTTTTTAGTGCATATTATTTTTAAGCAAGCCTAAAAAAAATCTCTTAAATGGGTTTAAAATTGACTTGACATAAGCTATTTGAACAGTTTAAAGTTTTAAAGTCTCGTGCTCAACTTAAAATTGTTGTATTAAAAAATAGGAATTAAACATATTGAACTTATATTTGCCTGTTATGTCGGATGTATTTATCGTTCTACAACATCCGGTGATTTCTAATTAAAATATTTATTTATTTGTATGTTATCATCTACGTATAATATACATTATTATATACAGTAAAAGCCGCTTATTAGAAACACTTTGGGACCAAGGTGAATTGTGTCAATTAACCGATTGTTTCTAATAAGCGATTGAAAAAAAAAAATGAATAATAGGTACGCGAAAAAAATATGTATGTATGTATGTACCTATATTGTATAATTTAAAAAAGTATGCACAATTGTGTATATTTTACGATATTATGTAAAATATTTATCATTCGTAATTTGTTTTTTTACGTCGAGTAACTCCATGACCATATTTTCATACGAGTAATATTGCCCCTTTAGCTTTGTCACTTATTTTGAGTGCGTATGTGTGTTCAGGTAGAGCTCCAAAATAAAGCCCAGTCTCGTCCGCATTGAAAATATCAGAGCGTGTGTATTGGGCTAGCAAATCGGTCAAATGAGTTTCAAACCACGAATGGTCGCATGAAAATTGGCTAAAATCTTAGCGTTTAGACATTTTTAGATTTTTAGAAAAAGGAAACACTAATAATCTTTACATACGCACGCTGAAGCTAAACTACAAACGGTACGACCAGTACGTACAGAAAGATCATTCTCGCGATAAATTACAGTAAAAATAAACGTAACGACAGCAAAGATAAAATTGAAGTACATTGGTTATCGCTAGATAATCGGTGTATATGTCAACTGACCTTCTCCCAATTGTTTCAAATAACCGATGTGATGTTTCAATAATCCGATTTATTTTCAATGTTCTAATATACGGCCGATCCGTCCCGAGACATTTTGTTTCAATAACACGATTGTATCAATTATCCGTGTTTCTAATAAGCGGCTTCTACTGTAGTTTATAACATAAAATATGAAACGCAAAAATGTCATATCAAATAAATTGTATGATGGTTTGGTCACATTTTTCTTAAATGAATAATTTTTAATATCATTATGAAGAAATAGACAATGTGCACGTTAAACAATAAAAAAATATTTTACGAAAAGTTTGTTAAACTTTTATTAATTTAATTTGAAAATAAATGATATCAAAAAATACATGTGTAATGTGTATAATACATACCATTTAAAATTAAAGATGAATTATTCCACAAAAATCATCTTAATATCGCAGTAATTAGTAATAATTATGAAACTGGTTGAAACAAAATTAAATATTGTAATATAGCATGATTGAAATTATAAAATAAAGCAACCAGTAATATATTAAATTAAAACCTGTCCGCTTAATAACTAATATTATAATTACTTGGTTTAAGTAATGAAATAGTTTATGATACTTTATTTAACATAATTACGATCGCCCTCGTTAAAACTTAAATTTAATTAAAACACATATAGGTGTATAATTATGTATTATTAATAATGAAATAAATAGATTCTTGAAGCATTTTGGCATTAGATTGTTGGGTAGTAATTCGTCAAAATTGAATAATCAATTTTTATAATTTAATGTAAGTATGATTTTAATGTACTTACCTACTTTCTATCTTACCTTATCTCATCAGTAAAGTTATAGAACTTATAAACTCGTACATTGATATTGTTATATTAATCATATATACATGATTATCTGAGTAAAAAGGTTGAAGAGCTTCTTCAAAAACAAAAACACTCCTCTTAAAATCTTCTATTTTAAAAAACTTTATATGTGTGAAAAAATAATGACATATGGTAGCTACCTCATAAGTAGGTAGTATAAATTATAATTTATATCTCAATAAATCAAATACATAAAATATAGCCATTTTAAATTAGTTGCTGGGTATTAATTTTGTTTTATTGAAATTTCAAAGCATAATACGCACTTTAATAAGTCACTAATGACAAAGTTCTTTTATTTACGTCGTCTTGTCAGTTACTTTTTTTTAATGAAATCAATCAGAAATGTAACATTTTGGTAATTACATTATATTAATATTACGTTATTATTTGAATATTTTACCTATTAGGTAAAGTGGGTCGTTAAAATTAGATAACTAATATTCTTAATTTATTTTTAATTCGCCTAATTTATGCAAGTTCCGATTAATTACAAACTCTCTGCTGCAGTTTTATAAAAAAAAAGAAAAAGAAACATTAAATTAAGCTTTGACTTTACACGTAGTGTTATGTGCATTTTTTGCAGATATAAATTTGATTTTTAAATTCCATTATAAATATTAAAACATTTTTGGCTTAGATACTTAAATTTACATTGTTGTTTATTAAAAGTTTATTACTAAAAAAAAATTAAATTATTAATTAATTTAAAATAAGTTTAATTTATTCTATCATCAATTCATATTACTTCAAAAATGTTTGAGGAAAATATTTTAATTGTATTATTCTATACATAAGTAAGTGTTCCCATTAAAATTTTTAAAAAACGATCAAGATAAATTAAAATTAAAAAATTCATGGTAAAACTTGCTATGTACACTACAAATTGTAATTGTGAATATGTTATTTAGGTATGATTATCATCTAAATGGTTTATTAGTACCTATACAATATTGATCATTATCAAAAATAATTCTTAATGGGGATAATTTACTACTGCAAATATAGCTCATTTTTAAAAGATTATAAGCCAAAAACAGCATTTTATGATTTTTATTGCATACAAATGTACTACATATAAATAGTTATCTTGAAATAATGTCACAGTTCAACTCTTATTGAAATTCTAAAAATCGAGTGTTATCAATAATAACAGTTATAAATATCAAATCATTTGACGTATTTAATATGTTTTCTTAAAAGCTGCTTAGTTAATAATCTATATCAAGATTTAAATAAAAAACAGAATCTCAACATTTTGATTAGTCGTTTTTTTTTAATTTAATAATTACCGAGTATTAGGTATTAAACCAACATAATAGTATGTACAATATTGTATACAAGTTTTAAGTAGTGTTTTCCAATAATTATTAAAAAATAAATATGTACAATTTAATACATATTTTAATCATTTAATAAATAATAATATATTATTAAACCATGATTAAATAATGATTACTTTTCACTATAAATAATAACCACTAAATAAAATCAAAATTGCTTACATATATTTTGTGTAGAATAATTTAAAATATTTATTTATATAGCTTTTAAATACTCGTCTAGTTTAAATCGATAGTTTAAAATTAATTTTTTTTTCAGTTTTCCGTGCTATAATTGAAAATAATGAATACGATTTATCTGAATGAACTTTATAATATTATAAATCCTTAATGATCTTAACCTTCACAATAGTTAAGATGTGGAAGGTCGTGGTTATTATTTCATTTATTCAAAACGTAGATAGAATCAAAAAAATTTATATTTTTGAAATATAAATCTAATAATAAAATTACTTTCCGACATAATGGCATGATAAGAAATAACAATGTATGTTTAAACACAATTGTCAACGTTTTCAAAAATTAATTAATTTTAATAGTTTTTGTCTGTAAATTTTACTCGTCAAACCGGTTTAGTGTAAATAATTTATTTAACAGGGTAAATAATATATAATGTATGTATTTATTATTGTTTAAAATTTTTTAGTAACTCTGTAAAAAAGATTATGAACATTAGTAAATTAATAAGATTTATTTAAATATACCTAACAACAGGTATAATTTGCACTAAATTAACCCGCTTAAAGTTTTTTTTTTTTTATTTGGTCATAAGTGGGAGAGAAATATTAAAAAAAAAACCCACTCCGACAACCAATTAGGGCGCACGCTATAGTCATCATCAACGAAGATGTTGTTAAACGATGTATGTATTATCAATGTTATTATTGAATACGTATAACATAATGCGATTAAATGACCGAGTTCACTGTTTTTTGGCGTCTCACACCATAACGAGTAAGGTACTGGTATTTAGTTTTAGTCTGCTGCTGCTGAGAGTGCTGCAAGCAGTCTCGTAACGAAAAAAAAAACGCGCAACCACATTATATATAAGGTGCATTACCTAAGTTTACAACTTTAAACGTTTCGTTTACGTCCGCAAACGCGCATCGGGTTTTTCAATACTTTTTTAATTTTTTTAGTAATTTTTTTTTTTAAATTTTTATTGAAACAGTTGTTAATCGATATCCTTTAAACACATTTTTAATCAAAAAACACCTAAAAAATAAACTAACTAAAGTAACTAAACGTTTTAAAATGCACAATTTTATAGGAAGCAAATTTAAGGCCAACTGTAGACAATTATTCGCAGCAATTTCAGGTTAGTTTGTATACTATTTAAGTAAACATTAATTGTGCACACTTATGTTATTCTTATTATTTTTTATTATAACGTATTAGATATAAACATTTTTGTAAATTTAATTAAATTTAATTTGAAATATATTAAAAAATATTACGCAATTAATACATTTTAGTGCATTTTAAAAACTTATTCTGTACAATTTTTTTTTTTTTTAAATAATTTAAAATAATATATAGACACACATACACAAAAAATATAAAAAATTGTTTTAAAATCATTTCGAAAACTTAAAAATGTTTTAGAGTATATTCATCGGAAGTATTTAATTAAAATAACTATTTTACTATTTAACTTTAGAAATAAAAAACAATTTTAAATATACCTTTGTATTTATGTTTTCTAAAATAATATTTTAATATAAAACTAAAAAATACTGAATATTTTTTGATTGTTTAAATTTTAAATATTTTTTAGGTATACGTTTAATAAATTTTTTTTGTTTAATTCGATTTCAAAACTGGACATACATTATCCATTATATTGAAGTTTACAGATCATATACATAGTATGAGTACATTATCTTATCTGTAGTTCATTGGGTTCATATTAAAATAATTGATTCTTATCATAATTTATATGATGTTATTTATGATCTATAACGATATATGATGATTTATTAACGCTATTGCACTATATTCATCATTTATACATAGTAAGTTTAGTATATTTTATTAAAAACAACTGGATTTTTTAAGTTACTAAATGCCTTTAATAGATTTAATTGATTTTAAACGGAACAATAGAACTACCGAAATGTGAGCACATGTGCGTGTTTTTTTTTCATTTTGGTGGAAAACCTTTTAAGTGGATTGTTAAAGTGATTCGATAATTTCGTTAGCGGTTAACCTGTGTAAGGATTAAGAACTGAACACAGATGGTAATATATCATAATTAGAGCAAGGACTTTCATGCACTAAAAAAATTATCAAATATGCATTTAAAAATTTGCACTTATGCATCAAAAAATTTTAAATATACAGTTAAATATGCCCTCAAAAAAAAAAAAATAAATACACTAAAATGTATAGCTCTAAAAATTATATTTTTTCTTTAAATATTTAATTTTAATAATTTTATATTATCTTTCTATATAAGTTTTAACTAAATTTGATATCACTTTATTGTAATCTAATCTACAGATTCGCAATTATGATAAAATGAGTCTCATTCGTCTTTATGAGAATATATAAACAGTTAAATTTAATAATTTGAGTTCTTATTCATGAAAAATATTGACTGAAGTACATGATTTTCAAAAAACTTTCAAAATATGCACTACAAACTAAAAATATGCTCTTATAATCAAAAAAGTATGTTCTTTAAATCCAAAATATGCAAAAATATGCACTAAAAACTTTAAAATTTTGGTCACAATTATTGTGAAATGTATTGTGTACTTACTCTGCATACGAAAAAGTAAACCACAAAAAATATGCGAACGCATGAAAGTTTGCTCTAGTCATTATAATTTATAAAACTGTTAGTTTTTTTAAATTGCCTGTCAGTTATCAAAAACCTATTGTTTATATTATTGTTATTATCTCAGCCGTAATGTCTTCTCGATTATCGAGATCACCTACCTCCTACGTATTTTTATTTTTCGAGACTACTTTCGGTGTACGATTACGCAGTTTAATGTACGCAACTACGCATCGGTCACTATATATTAACGTGTCGGCATAGAACGGATGTACATGGATATAATTTGTACCGGGTCATCGTTTTGTTTAAATCAACATTAAACATTAATTATACATTTATTATACAATAATTCATGTGTATATATCAAACACTGAAACACACACACACACACACATTATTGGTTGATACAATAGGTACAAATGCGTCGTACATAATACATTTCTATATGTCAACTATAATACGGTAGCGTTTAGAGTGACGAATTAAAAACGATTAACACTGTTCAGAATCTCGAGCGCAGCTATATTTATTTTTTTTTAATAACGATGGCCAATATCTGTGGACTATACGTGAATAAATATCGAGTAGAGGAATTTCGTTATCCGGCCTAATGAGTATACTGAAATAATCAGACTGCTATTATAATAATATTAAAACGAAACGAGGTATCTACTATAATTATGTTCGCTAAAATCGGTTGCACGAATTATTATTATTATCATTATTATTATTATGCATAATAATACAATATAAACTCGTCGGAATCGACAATAAATTACAATTATATAGCTGCGCCAAAACTGCTGTATACCACTGTCGAATTTTCAACAGCTCATTCGAATACGGGATGTTTCTTCAAGTCGACCGGCAAGGGTCCGTCGACCGAGATCGAATTCTAGAGTTAGGTCGTAAAAAACGCTCGTCGAAAAGCGTCGCTCCGATAAAACATATATACTATGTATAGGCACATAAAGCGGAATGGAAAACGTTATGATATTAAAGGTGGTGTACATTACACTCATGTGGTATAAATTACGCCTTACAATCGTTTTTATATACGTATATGTGTGTATAAGAAGGTATGTACCACGGTCGATTTACGTTTGAGATAATGTTTAAATTTATAAAAAAAAAACCATATTGTACGACCGACATCGTATATAAATTACACGGAGGCCCGAGGACAGGAAAATAGAAATTATTGTATCGCAGTTACACGCGCATATGTGCATGCATAAAATACGTTTAGATACCTACGCGTAAAAACGCACTCTGTGCCCAGCGACTAAACAACACGTGTCGCGCGTGTCAGTATAACACCGTAAATTTCAAAATGAATCGCATAGTATAATATGCACCTCGCACGCGTTTCTAGTCCGGTCTACATCACCTCCTCCCCACCCCCAATATACCACGACGACACAACCTCCGCCCACCGACAACACCCTCCCCGTAACCGCCGTTCAACGCCGGGGTAACATAACATACGTGCGATCATGAAAACATCGTATTTGCTACGGTGTATTAATAATTGTTCGGTGTATGTGTTTGTGACATATAGATATAGACTATATAATATTATTTGCACATATTTTATATACCTACACATTCTGACGTTAATCGCGGACGTTGGATTAAATCGTGTACGACACCAATTACTATGCATAATTGTTATTATAATAGTACTCTGTATCGTTTCAATATATGACTATAATAATAGAACTGTTTGTATGCATATAATATATGTATACGTACATTTTTATTCACATTATTACCGTTCGTTCATTATTAACTAATAACGCCTGCAGTTGCACGTGATCGGCAAGCACATAATATTTAATTTTTAGTATCATACATGTAATTCATTATTATTTTTTGTCCGCTTATAGCGCCAAACATGAAATCTCGTTGAACGGTAACCCAATTAAATAAATAAAATTAAAAAAAAAAAAATAGGTAATAAAATTAACATAGATAGACTGTATGACACGATAATGTTAATGATGATGCTTATATGCTGTGTAATGTGTATATTATATACTATATACCTATGTATGATAATAAATATATATATATATTATATATAGTGATTGTGCAACGTGGATACGTATTTCGAGCTAGAGTAGTCAATTATAATATATTATTACGCTCAACAGAAGTATACGATAATAAACTATAAATAGTAACGATTGGAAGTCTATTGAACATCATTCAATCCGTGCTATGTATATGGGCATGATAAAGTATAAACCATATTTTACCGACTCGTCTCATTTACCATGGATATTATTATATATTATACATTACGCATCGTAATATACATGAGTATATATATACATATATATATATATATATATATATATGATTTTATTGTTGTGTACATAGGGTTTATGATAAATGAACTTTAATAATCGATGATAATCTCGGGTTTCCGAAATCATAAGACTCCCGTCTGATTTTTAACGAATGAAGAAAATCATCAAAAATTACTATTTTTCTAACGTACCGGTTATTTCAATATTTTCTACCCGAAAAAAATTCCCATCGTTCACGTCATTTTCTGTAATCTATACGTAAATTGTTTGCCACTCTTAAAAACTAAAATACATAAATGTACATACCCACATCAATATTATTAATATTCGTTTTTAAGATGAACGTTCAGTCCTAGCAATCACGTGATCTCTTTTCTACAAGTCTGATTTATTCAAAACTGAATGGAAAAATAAACAAATGACCAACAAATCGACAATTTAATAGGTATTTGAGATTTTTTTAAGTCTAATAATAGGAACATAGGGTAAACTCTGTAATAGAGAAACTTAAGTCTCCTGCGTACCTGTAACCCATATCTGTTAAACGTAAGTGTTTATGCATGTGTAATAGAAAATAGAAGACAAGAAGTTTATCCACAAGTCCGTTGACGTCTTGATCAAAGTCTTGTATGTGTAATGTGTATACAAGCTCTATAATTCAAGAAAAGTCGCGGACCGCATATAGTCATAACATACAACAGTATCATTACAGATGATGCAATATAATGAACACTGTATATATACCTCTTCCATAACTGATTTATTCGTGTAGTTTTCCACTATTGCTTGGTTGTTTTTTCCTTATACAATAATAATATAAAGCTGATGGTATTTTTGATACATTGACATTTTTGGTAACCTATATTTAGAAATTTTCATATCAATTATTTTACCGAAATTTACGGTTTCTATACCGTAAAAACATGTGTTTATTTGAGTAAATAATAATAATAATAATGGCAACCAACAATAAGTGGACAACTACATACAGTATAAGCTAAGTGAAGAAATATTTAAACATAGGAGTGTGAGCATCAAAAAAATGTAATGATACCTATTATCAGCCTGTTTTGTCATGTGATATATTACATATTGTATAATATATTATGCAAATAACAAATTCTGAAGTACAACAAAAAATAATTCACTGAGGAATTAAAATTAGAGATGGATACTTGGAAACTTCGTCTTGTAATTTGAAATGTCCTAGATCCCACCACCACTGCAAGCTATAATATATTATTATATTATTATATTACTCTAGTATGGATATTTATATATGTTTATACTTTTATATGTGGTGGTAAACGATGTAGGTTTTATAGCCCGTCAAGAACGGAAGGAAACTAAACACGATATTAAATTTGATTATTCTGCACAACCATAACCGTTGATACCACGCTCACCGCAAGCCCGATTGAAATAATACCGTATGCTATTAATTTTATACCTCATCCTTAAAACTATTTACCACGTGTAATAGTGCGCGTATAACTTTTTTTTCTGACTCAATTTTGTAAAAACTAGAATGAAATAGCCGTATCTAATATTATATTTTTGACTTTTAAGTAATTTTTTATTTTATCTAAAATCCTTTTTATCTTTAATATTAAAGTTTACACCACTTTGTTTATATTTTATAATACACATCAAAGTATCTAGCTAAAGTATATACAAAATTTAGTTGCAAAAAGATGCTTTTAATTAGAAAAAATATTATATAAGGAGACGAGCACAGAGAGACACTATATATATATTATGGAAAGTATAAAAAACGTAAATATTGTTGTAAAAAAAAATCCTGTTCATTATAATATTACAATAGGTAGGTAAATAATATCTTTACATAGCCGGATGGTTGTAACTTAACGTTTCAATAGATATGTTTTTGTTATAATACATGGTTACTCTGTGCATTAAGCATTCTACTAGATATTTTTTGTACGGCCAAGTGAACTCAAAATCATAAAAAAATAAATTGTCACACTGCGTTATCCGGGCCCGGGCTGTCTGATCGTACGTAGAAAAAGCTTTATTGGCGCATTTGATATATAAAACAAAAATACCAATATCCATGAGCACATTTATGTGTACATTGTACAATACTATACAAAATATAATAAATAACAAACTATACAATTATCATACCTTTTTTTTTCGTCTAGACGGGTAGAAACACTAGAAACTGTTTGTGACAATACTGCCGCTTAGATCCAAACGATTATTATACCTATATATAAATCTAAGTATAATAATCTTATAATTAAACTATATTAAATCGAGCGTCATTTTTACCAGTTTTCCTATGTTAACTTTGCATAGAGAGGTGATTATTACGCAACTTTTACTAAAGTAATAATTCAAGTTACATTACAACATATAGTACAAAATAAAAAAATGACCATGTCATCAAATCAATTACTGATTAAAAAATTTTTTGTTTCTACTGTTTTAAGAACTCGAAACGCATATTCTAATCACTACAGCTGCCTGCGCAAAACGGTATTCAGTTTATTCATACCGTTTAAAATTTTAACTAGATACAATCAATTACATTTAATATGACACGTTGTTTTTTTTTTTTTTTTGTCTACGTTAAACGACCACATTAATACTCTAAGCGACTACAGCCTACCTACCTGCTACACTATGCCCACCTACTAAAAGATTATACAATTAAATAGTTTTTCAGCAGCTGTTTTATGATAAGTGAAATAAATTACATGATATATTACACAGTGTTTGACATAACTAAATATTTCAAAAAAAAAACACATAAGTAATTGTTATTATTAGTCAGTTAATGTGTTAAAAAAAGAAAAAAAACCACCAACAACATACCTCATTGTGTGTACCTAAATATAACTTATATTTTACACAGTTCTTGATATTGGTATTATTTTTAATTTAGTATTAATATTAAATCTACAAGATAACACTTATGGTATTCGATTACAGACAATTTAGTAGAAGCGATTTTAACCAAAAACGAATTTGACAATCGAAAACAAAAAAAAGTTTACTTATTTTTTTCATTTCAATACAAATTCAAAATAAATGAATTATTTACCTACTTACTACCATTCAATATTCAAATGAAACTATTATTATTACCTTTTATTGTAGTAATTTCATAATAATTTCTAAGTACTTTTTATCACAACTTCCAGTTATTTTAAAATTAAATTTCTTTTTTTAATAACTGTTATTTAGGTTTATTTTTTTTAATCCAAAACTTATAAATTAATAATAAAATTACTAGGTATCTAATTAAAACGCACATTTGGTTAATAATTAGCCTCATTCATTTTGGCAAAAAATTAACCGATCGTTTAAGTGAATTTATAAATTATTGAATAATAGGGAAGTAATATACCTAACTATACAATAATTTTCATATATTTACTACAACTAAACATAATTATTATATCGTTTCGGTTTCGACTGATTGCCGATAACTATTTTAAAGTGTCAAAACCAATTTATAAATAAACATTAAAATCGTGGAAAGAATATCAAACTGAAAAATTAATAATAATAGATTATATTAAATAAATAGATATCTCATTCAATACTAATAAAAAAAAATGTAGTTAAGATAATAAACATAATATAATAAATTATATGACAATATATTACATTTTTAACCAAACCAGTTAGAGTTAATTGAGAGTTTAAGTCTTTAAAAATGAGAAGGAAAACTTATATTCACCTAAATTTATAAAATTGCCCAAACGATATGTTATTTTGTGCTATTCGCCCAAATGAAATCCACCCAACCTTGCACGATATTATGAAATATTTATAAATTTGTTTTAAAATTAAAAGCAGTCCTAAATGTCTTAGATATCTGTTATGAGTTTAAACTATATACAATTTTTATTTTTTATTCAATAACAATTTTAACGAAGTGTTAATGAATAAATAAATTATATATACATACATATATATGTGTGTATATATATATAATATTGAACTAAAGATAAAGTATACATTAATCGTAACAATTTAAATATAAAGTGAAGGAAGAAAGCAGTGATATACATTTTAAAAATCTATTTTTAATTTTAGTACTTTATAGATTATTCTTATCTACTACATTTATTTCTTCAAACTTTAAATAATTATGATTAATGAACAATAATTAACCAATAACTTAGTATTAAATTACAGCTTATGACGTAGTTACGAAAAATGGACAAATTATAATACGCAATGTAGACTACCACTTGAAAATCAAAAATCTTAACTGTTTTAAAAATAAGGGAGTAAAAACTGAATTAAATATAACAATTATTTTCAGATATACTCAGTATTAATGCCTATTTTGTTGGTAGAAAAATTACCCTGTATGACAACTAGTATTCACGTTTGTTCGTTAAAAACGCAATCCCAAAAACGTGGAAATTATTAAATGCTTAGCATTGCTATTCGTACACTGCAATTGAAATAGAATTAGTATTTTGATAAGATGTTATGGAATTCATTATCATCACATATTTTTCAATCAGTTTAAAATAAAAAACCTAAGGTATAATATTTTATAATATTCAGTTATCAAGAAGAAATGTCCATATATTTTACCTGCAAAATAATAATCATACCTACCTATATACATGTATACATATTTAATTAAAATCCTACTAAATCTTTGAAATAGTGTCAACAGATAACCTCTTCACCCATCACATTTTTCATTAACAAAATTTTAATTCGAAATACTTCAGTATAATATCGTTATAGTATAAGGCAGTATTGTAAATCGGTAACTATTATTAAAGCACTCTAAACCTATTGTAATGTCATAACTTATTTAAAATGTCGTCATAACTTTAAAAAAGTATATAACAGCCCTCTTTACTGTTAATTATTGAGTAGATGATTTTTATAGAATCTTTGATGTGTATAAATTGAAATTTTAACAAACAGTATCAGAGCTATTAAACATTATATTTTAAGCGTAACAAAGAATAATCCTTAATAATTGAAGATAATAATGAATAAACCTTTTATTTATTACTTATTTCCATAGACTAAATTAATTTATAAAGCTTAATAACTGAAAAACTACTCATTTAAAACGTGATTTTATAGACATCGAGATTTTCAAAAAAATCGTTAGCTTAACAATTTTAAGTAAAGAATACCTACCTACTGATACTTCTCACTTGAAAAAAAAATACTTGTATCACCACATGATACTTCTTAAGTAACAAAAAAATTTAAATACTCAAAAATCTCTAAAAATCAAAATTAGAATCAATGCATAATTACAGGAAAATTACATAGAGGGGGGGGGGAGGAAGTAATAATGCTTGAACGCTTATAAGTCACTGCGGTGTACCTATATTGAACTTTTTGAAAATTCAAGTTCAATACAACTATCAACCATACATCAACGTGCTATACATAGGTAAATGTAATATTTAATTTAAGCCATAAGAATATTAACATGATATTATTTTAATGTCATGACGCACTTGATCCGGTTGTAAATTGATGGTCATACCTATTACGATGTGATTAACTACAGGAAACAATAATCAACGATGTTAATAGCGATAAATTATGTGATTATTGTTATATTATTGTTCCAGTGAATCTCGTCACGTTTTCGTTTGGAGTCTACACGGGATGGTCATCGACGGTTGCGCCTATGCTTAAAGATCCAAAGCAGACTCCGCTCGACCATGTGATAACGGACAACTCGATTTCTTGGGCTTGCAGCTGGGGTATGCTCAGTGCTATACTGGGCACGTTCTTCTGGGGAATGTTAGCGGACAACTTCGGCCGGAAGACCACAGGTTTCCTGACCATGTTACCGTACCTGATCAGCTGGATCATCCTGTTGGTGGTCAAAACGGAGACGGCGCTGATGGTGTCCCGGTTCCTGGGTGGCCTGGGAGCCAGTGGGGCGGCGATAAACTGCCCAATGTACGTTGGTGAAGTGAGCGACGAAGCCATGAAAGCCGGGCTAGGTTCGCTGTTTATACTCATGTACAACATCGGCGTGCTGTACGTCTACGTGTTCGGCGTGCTGGTCAACTACACCTATTTGAACGTAGCCTGTCTTGCCATCAGCTTGCTATTCATGGTGGTGTGGTTCTACGTGCCCGAGTCGCCGATATTCCTCATTCAAAAGAAGCGGATGGACGAGGCGAGGCGGTCGCTCATGTGGTTCCGGGGCAAGGACAACGACAAAGAGGTGAGCGAGGAGATGGACTCGATGATGCGGCACAGTGACCAGACGGACAAGGCCAAGCTGTCCGATTACAAGAAACGCGGCACGGTTAAGGCGCTGCTCATCGGCCTGGTATTCCAAGCGGGCACGCAGTTCAGCGGCATAAACATCATACTCATGTACACGGTGGAGATATTCAAGAGCAGCGGTAGCAAGATGTCCCCACACTCGTGTACCATACTGGTGGGCGTGGTGCAAGTCATTGGGTCCGCGGTTGCGACGTTTATAGTGCACAGGGCCGGTCGGAAGTTCTTCCTCATGGTCACGTACGGGGTCACCGCCCTGGCACTGATCACTATCGGGACGTGTTTCTACATCAACAAAGTGGACCCGTCCATCAACACCGGCATACTGCCCGTGTTCAGCCTGTCGGTGCACGTGATCGCGTTCTCGCTGGGCCTGGGCATGGTGCCGTACATCATCTACACCGAGGTATTCCCGGCCAACGTGCGCAATATATGCATGTCCATGCTGATGTTCTTCAATAACGTGCTGGGCTTCGCCATCATCAAGGCGTACCCGTCCATGTCGAACACGTTGCACACGTCCGGCTACTTCTGGATGTTCGGCGCCGTGTGCCTGGCTGTCGTGCCCTACACCTACTTGTTCGTGCCTGAGACCAAGGACAAGTCGTACGACGAGATCCGCCGTGAGCTGCTGGTGTGGTTCCCGGACAGGAAGCACAAGGACAAGGCGGCGGCGATGGACAAGGAGGCCACCGGGGACCAGGCGGACGTTGGCGTAGATAACAGCGTGGTCGTGGTAGAGGCCACCGAAATGAGAGTCTGCATGGGCAGGGACCAGAATTGCTTCACGACACCCCAACGCGCACGCGACAACGTCGAATAATAACAGACACATGGGTTTAAACGTTCCTGTGCGTGTACACTGCTGCGGCACGTATACACGAGTAAAGGCCACTACTATATTATTATCATTATTATTATTATAATTATTATGTAGTGTCTAATATCTGTGAATATAACTGATTTACGTGAGGAGAGAAGAGGGAGAGAGAAAATGTAAAAAAAAATCGAGTAGAAAAAACTACCTTTTTTTTTATTTTTTTGTATTTTTACGCCACAAAGTTTGTTTTTTATATATTTATTTGAATAATTTTTACGATGACCGTAGGTTTTATAATATTTATATGTGTGTGTGTTTGTGGTAAATTAACAATTTCCATTAATATATTGTAACAAATATAACAAGTATTATGAATAATTTAAGTATGATTGTAATTTTAAATATATTTATATACATATATCTTAGTTTTAAGTTTTAAAATAATATTAATTGTTATAACGATATAATAAACACAGAATTTAGATGTATAGACAACAAATACGATAAGGTGACAATCACTTCTTTGTCTAATCACAGTTTTATACTTAGACTTAACGTGTATTATAAACCAATTTACATTTATAAATATTTTTTATATTATACTAAATCTCATTAAAAGTAAATATAAATTTAAAACTCGTGAGTTGTTATGAGGTTATTTAATAATTTATAAATCAAACCTAAATTTTACAGCATTCTATACAAATTAACTATGTAATTGTTTTAATATACTATAAACAGGTGAATAAATTTGATTGCAATAAACAATTAAATTAAATTTATGTGGTAAAGAAAGTTTGTTTAACCTTACTGTGATATCTAAGCCCATAAAAATACTTTAAAATTTTATATCTATAGCATTAACAGTTTTTTTTTTTAATTTGTATAATTGTAATTTTAAATGTTAATAATATTATTTTAATTTATTCCATCACGCTAGTACCGCTAGTAATACTAAACTTAATGAGTAATATAGTAATACATTTTATTTTTTATTGATCATTGGCCATCAGTTCTAAGTATACCATAATAAAACTTCAGAATATTATACTCATTTAAAAAACCCCTGGATACTATATTATAATGTGTCAAACAAATATTATTCAAGCCGATTGTTCATTAATATTTTCTTTATAAAATATATATTTTATTGCTAATTTCAGAGTTATTTAAATTTAAAAACATAAATAAAAACACACTAAAAAAACATTAAATATTGAAACCTTTTAAATAAGCCAAAATGTTTTAAACCATTTTTCTATCAATTTCAAAACCTAATAACATACGAATACCTATATACAAATTTTAACGATTTTGTCATACTATAAGATTGTGCAAACTAATAATGATAAAATATTATTTAAATGTATGGCACTTAGTAAATTTACCTAGTAGGTAATTCTTATAAATTTAATAACACTGCAGTAATTGAATCACATTTGCTCCAGTATAACTTGCCTACTACAAAGTAGTCGCCAGCTGTGATCCACCCACGATCATACGTAACCGGAATTATGTCCGGCTTTTTACAGTACATTATTTATACCCCTTATTGTATTATTGTATAGTATATTTATCATACGACATTCTTATTCCGTAGATTCAATTAAATTGTTTATGATACCACTGTAACAAAATATGACAAATTAAACGTTACCCTTTTCCTAAGACCAAAAATTGTCTCTAGACTAGAATAATTGATCAAGGTGAAAATAATAAATACAAATGACTTAGCGAGCTAATGGTTGTTTAAATGTTTAATAAAAGGTCTAGACACAATTTCGTTCCTATGCAAAGATACATCCGTGTATTTAACCTAACCATTGATTAAAATATATACGTTGTATCTATATTCAAACAATGAACTAACATGTCTTAACTATATATGATAATATTTGTTTACCTTAACAATGTATGTTTAATATAAATATTATAGCGTTATACCATATTGGAATAAACTAGACTGAATTATTAGACTCGTAAAAAACGAAAATAATAATTAAATATATTGTATTTGTTAGTAAAAAACTTAAAATACCTTTAATAATAATTCTCGATATAACAGTTGTTGTAATTAATATTTTTGTTTTTATTTAACAAAATAATTACTCAGTAAATGAAAATTAGTAATTAATAATACTATATAGTTTATTTTATCATATTATAAACATGATATATTGTATATACATATAATATGTATGCATTCAAATAATTTATGTATTATGCGAGTATTTGACTATATAGTATGAATTCAATTATGTAGTTATATACACCCTACTTAAATTTTAAAGCACAGCACCACTTAATAATTTTAATAAAACATAGTTCTTAGTTCATTAACTTTAATAATTAATATTGTTTTATAAATAATTATTTAAATGAATTTAAAAATGGACTAAATATTTAAAAGTTATCATTAGCTGCAGAACAGTAAACGTAATTTCATCCCTATACCAAATAAACTATATTTATTAAACGATACTGGGTTTAATATGAAAAATAAATAAAATACATAATATAATAAACTCGTATAAATATAATTTCATGTTTATATATATTTTACTCTAAAATATATATTTGCGTTCTTTTTCAAATATTTAACTAATTTTTTTTTTTTAAGTAAATACTGTAAATACTTTTTCCAAAAAGTATTACATATAATATATAAAATATTACGAAATATATTCTTTAAAAGTTATTATATAAGTTCAATATATGCTTATTATTTTTTTTATATGTATGGATCTTTCAAATCGTACTTTTTAGATGTCTATATAAACTTTATATAAACGTTGGTGATTCAAATGTAATCGCAAATCGCAATACTGTTGAAATCAGACGCTTATGCAGTTATGTTCTTGCTATTTTCGTAACAAATATTATGCGATTCAGACCTTAACTCATAAAAGCAGCTCAGATGTAATATACCTAGCTACATACAATATCGTTATTATGATTTTATATATAAAACTGGTGAGTGGGTTAAGGTTTAAGACTATATCGTACCGTAGTTATAGCAAAAACACTATTTTTGAATGGGGCTCGCAAAACAGAAAATTATTCGGAACGCCGTTTATGTTAGAGGTAAGTGCAAATATACGAGCATCGCGCATATTGGAAAAAAAAAACATAATAATATATTATTATCATTACAGATGTATAAGCAATTTATTGTTGATGTATGTATGTGCACTACGAAGCACTCGAGTTAATACCCACCGATTACAAAATAGAGGTTTTTATCGAGGTAGAGAGAAAATCGGTAGGTAAATACACTTACATAATACACCACCATCACCACCAACCTCTAATTTTATACTGTCGATTTATAATCAACTGTGATTTACTTAAAATGTTTTTCCTTTATAACTGTTTAAGTAAACATAAAATATTACTAAAAAAATTCTAATTTAACTGTTGCATTATGTAGTTGCTTGGCTTATTTTAATTTGTTTAAGAAAAAATGTTAGATTTTTGTTGTACATTTACATAAACTGCTGTACGTACTAGTTTAAATTAATTGTATTTCTAGTGGATAATTGATACGCATTTACGCTAGACTAAAGTTGGTTCCAAACAATGTTATAAATATTATAATATATACATTTACAGTAGGTAAATGTAGGTACGCAACATTGTAATAATACATAATATGTCTGTAAAATCATAAATATTGATAGCCACTAGATAAAATTTCGGTTTCATATTAGTATGTGAATCAAACAATAAAAATTCATATGTATTTGTATATATATCATGAGATTAAAACTTCAAAGTATATACATAGGTATGCTTAAACATTTATGAACAAGATACGGCACAAGTTAAAAACAATATAAAAGTTTTGTTTTTAGGCCACTGCTAGAATTACTTTTATTTATATTATTATAAATTCCAATATAGACGTATAGAAAACGTCTTATAAAATTGATTCAATTGTTAGTCTAAAGTATTTCCAGATGTCTCCAACTATTTTACTACATCAAATTATAAAGTTATCTTATAAACATTATAATAATTCCAACCACGCACTTGAGATTACTCAAAATCGGTATTTTTCTATATTATATTATTTATTTGTTACATATATAATAAAAATTAAAATGTATTATCAAAGTTAATACTTTTATAAGAATAGTATTTAAATCATATAATTTTATGGAAAAATGATGTTTAAAATAAAAAAAGTAGTCACAGGTACGTTTCAAAAAACTATTAAGTATTAACTGTTTAATACTAATAAATAGATTAAACATAACAAAAGTATTTTGAAAATTATAATTTATATTATGAATAGAAAATGTTATAATATCTAATTGAAATATTTGGTGATAATTTCAAGTATCTTTTGTTTACTGCAAAGTTCCCAAACTGTGGATCGCGATTAGTTTAGTTATTTTTTAGTCTAACTATCAATCAAATTAATGCAGTTTTTAATAGATATGAAGTTATTTTCATCAATGATACAGCATCTGAGGACTGGCCTTAACATTACTTTCATGTAATATACTCTAAAGTATGAATTTTTATGTTTTTAGTCAGAATAGGTGTATATTTACTTAAAAAATATCCAAAATTAAAAAAAAATTCAATAATTTTTAATTATATTAAACAATTTTTGGATATTACTAATCGAATTTGTAAAAATATAATAAAAAAAAATTTACTAATCTATATAAATCCTCCCTTATAGTAATTATCAATATATCAATATCATGGCATGTGAAATTTATATCTATTATAAAAATGTTTATAACATTTTCCTCAAATACATACATACATATATAAAAATAAATAAATAATACATAATATCCTGGATTTTGTTATGATTAGATAACACGACAGTGTAGTGCTATAATATAGGTACAGACTACAATATTATATGATTTATTCTCTGCAAATTCACATAACATTTTGGTTTTATACGTCAGAATTTTACATAAATAGGATGTACCTTTTTTATCATCATTGGTAAGGTAGGTACGTATAACCACAATGTCCTTATATAAGTTAACTGCAAACTATGTTTTATTTTGGCAGTGTGTCAAATTTTTGTAATCTGTCTCACTGCCAATATTTTCTGTTTACCTGATAGCCGTCAAATATATATTAAATATTAAAATATATTGAATTTATCTTGAAAAGAAAATTAAGTATGAACTAATTTTTATAAATACGATTTTCATTTTTATACTTTAATACATACCTACAATAATTTCATACATTAAGTTAATACGTAGAAAATA